TATTATTTATTAAACTTTATCTTAACCATCGTAACCATGGTAATCATATAATTACTGCATCTAAATCGTTAGAATTAATGGTTTACAGTAGGTCAGCTTATGAAACTAAAACTTTGAATATCTCGAAATTGGTCCATTTTCGGACCTAAGTTTATTAGACTTTTCTTGTCTGTTTTCGATCAGAGAATACGCTGATGCAGTATTGTACAATCGTTGCGGGACACCTGTATATATTTTTTTCATTTTTAAGGGGCACCTATAAAACCAGCTTGCTGTGGTGTCCATTTTGATATTCATTTACTTATAATTATTTACTTATATTAAGTTTCTTTTTATATTTGTTTCTTCTTATATTAAATTAAGTTTATTTCTTTGATTATGTTCATTTGATTTTGTAATTGAATATCAATAAAAGGTTTATTATTATTATATCCTTAATTATGCATCTTTAAAAGTATGTTTAAAACATTTAGTGACATTCTTTTTACATTACTAATCTTGAATTATCTATATACATATTATATATTTATTTTATTTGTTCGTGTTATACAGGCTGTTTCATAATATATGCGCAGGACATCAGGATGTGATAGCTTGTCCAAAAATTAAAAAAAAGTTTTTAGTAAATTACCCTCTAAAATGCACCATTTTCGAGATACCCCGTAATTAAATTTTTATTTCAAAAAATTTACTATGTTATTCAACATAAAAGTTGATTTTTCTCGAAAACGATCAACTTTAGAGCTCATGACCTTCAGTACTTTTTTTGTGTAGAAAACATTGGCAGTTCAAACGGGCGTCTCAAAAATGTACTTTTCCAGTGGCGTAGAAGTTGGGGAGAAAAACAACCACTACCCCATCAAAATCTTCACCAATTATGACTTTAAAAAATTTTTTTCTCGCACAAATTTAGCTTATTATGAGTAGAAAATGCTTACAAACGCTGTTTTCTGTACGATAAACGGTTAAGGAGATATTCGCAAAAAACGATTTCTTTCATTAAATTTCAACACTCTGTATCTCGAGAATGGTGCATTTTAGAGGGTAAGTTGATAGAAACCTTTTTTTTAAATTTTTGGACAAGCTATCACATCCTGAAGTCCAGCGCAAATATATATATATACAGGGTGTCCCGTTAAGCGTACGGAGCGGCTGTATCTCGACAACGGTAAGGCCTAGAGGTTTGGGAAAAAAATCTGTATACGCAAAGTGACCAAGAGAAATAGCTGGAAATTATTTTGAAGTTCGTAATTCGACCGCTAGGGGGCGTAACTGCCATTGAGAAACATAAAATTGCCGCTATCTCAGAAACTTAGACGATGAGCTATAATTTTGACAACATTATTTAATAGCTTGGCTGATACCGCATCGCTTTTGTTTTGCGATATTTCTCATATCTGTCATAATAAGGGAGGGGGAGGCCAATGCGTTTTCATATGTTTACATTTTAATATCTCCTAGACCATTCAACCGATTTGAATATTTTCGGTGTTGTTTGAAAGAGCATTTTATGCTCTTTTTAAAGATATTTTCAGTAAGACCGTCTGCTTTAAAACAAATGAGCTAGAGGACGTTATCTGCAGCGATTACATATTTTTGTGATTTTTGAAGAAAAGTTAAATGGAACGATACTATTTACTTCACAGACCCTTAGTCACCTTAAAATTTGCTAAATTTTAGTGAAAACCGCATCTCGATATCGCCACCCGTTCTCGAGTTATAGAAGAAAATGTTAAAAACTCGAGTGCCATCAATCGGATCCAGTTACCTCATCGAGAAAAACAAATCACATAACCATGGTAACTGTAAACATGTCATTTACTAACGCAGAAGCGTATGATAGAGCGTATGATGATTTATTTTCAATGTTTCGAATACGATGCAACTGCATGGCAAAAATGTGCAATGCAATTACGACAAAGAAAGACATTTTTCTCTAGAAGTGTTTTTAAGATTGACTTAGCGATTACGGAAAACTGGCAACGTGTAGCCCATTCAGACATCTCTATGAATTCGTAAATCACATTGGTGCGCAATGTGATCCCACATAATCTGGGAACTCCGAAAACAATTGTCCACAAGAGTTCTCAAGAGAATAATATCTCCACCACGTTGTTTTACATCAGGCCTTAACAGATACCGATTATGATAACAGACTGAACTATTACCATTGACTTTTAAATATGATTTGGGCAAATCCAAACCTTTTATCACAAATGCTATGGATGCATGAAGCATCTGTCCACAAGCTGATGTAAACTTGCATAATATGCATTCTTGGTTCGAGCAAAACCCACATTGCTTTCACCCCTTTATCTATTGGGTAGACTAAACGACCTGACTTTTCAAGAAAAACCAATAACCAGGGAAAATATGACAAAACACTAAATACCAGTAAAAACGTGTCCAGGGAAGAGACTTAGCAGCGCTTTTTTTTCGTCGAAACTAGATTAAATAAATGCATCGAGGTTTATGTAAGACATTTCGAACATTAGTGAGCTATTTTTGCCAAAAATTTAAGTTATTCTAAGTGTTTCGGTTTATTTTGTTTTATTATCATTGTTGATGTTTCATTGATCCGTTGGCTTTTCAACACGCCTCAAAAGTAGTTTTGAAGCAGTTCTAAGCTTGGATAAAGTGTGAAGGAAGGTTCTAGATAATAAAATTTTTGTTATCTCTTATTTGTTTCCTAAGGTAACTTGATCCGATTAAGATATACGAATTTTTAACATTTTCTTTTATAATTCGAGAATGGATGGAGATATCGAGATGCGGTTTTCACTAATATTTAGCAAATTTTATGGTGATTAACGGTCTGTGAAGTAAATAGTACCGTTCCATTTAACTTTTTTTCAAAAATCACAAAAATATGTAACCGCTGCAGATAACGCCCTCTAGCTTATTTGTTTTAAACCAAGCGGTCTTACTGAAAATATCTTTTAAAAGAGCATGAAATGCTTTTAATTACGAACTTCAAAATAATTTCCAGGTATTTCTCTTGGCCACTTTGCTTATAAGGATTTTTTTCCCAAACCTCTAGGCATTACCGTTGTTGAGATACAGCCGCTCCGTACGCTTAGCGGGACATCTGTATATTTTGAAATGATGCAGCTGAGTGTTATCAACTTGTATTACGTGTGTATAGTTTGGGTTGCTTGAATGTAGGTTAACTTAAGATTTTAGTTTTTCTTAATTGATCAATTATATGTATTTTCATTACTTAATATTTCTTAAAGTAATAAACTTCTGAAATTTCCTGAATTTTCCTTTTAACTTACCTTAAATTTCTCTTCATACTTCTAACAATTTTTTCTTGTTATGTCTAGTTTGAGATTTTGACAATTCCTCAAGCTTCCATTCTTTAACAGTTATCAGAAGTTCCTTCCATCAGATGTTGTGTTCCCTATCCTAAATTCTGCAGTTTGACGTCAGTACAATCGTGAGATGATAGGTCGTCTTCGCCGTCTTCAATGCCGAAGGATTTGAGAATTTCTGCAAGCATTCCATGTGAGATGCAGTCGAAAGCTTTTTGATAGTCAATAAAGCAGGAGTCTATATCAACATTCAACCTTTACGTATGAACATTGAGAAAAAATGGAACCTACTACGTTTCTGAAGCCAAACTGCTTATCCCCAACTTGTCTTTGGTATTTTGCATACAGGTCCATTTAACGTCAGACAAGCGATTATTTCGAAAACGGTTCATGTTACATAAAAATGAATCAAATAAAAGTTGTTCTGTGCGAAGGGGGAAACCATATGACGATAACATTTTTTGACCTTGCCCTTATTTTCAAGCTCATATGAAGGTCACGACCAATTTTTTAAATGGCACCCTATATTCTTGATTGCAAAATCTGAATCTATGGATAAAAGTAAAATAATTAAAAAAAAAATTACCGTGTGGTATTACCAGACGACGGCGAAAGATCTTTTATAGACAAAATCTAAATAATTTTTTTATTCAAATGGTTTTAAATATTGTTTATTTATAAAAAAATGATTAAACTATACTATTAGGTATAGATATACTATTATCAAGAGGTGTTAAATCAGGTGATCTGACAGGCCAGAAAATTGGACCTCCCCTTCCAATCCATCGCCCAGCATAATCTCGATCTAAAGCTTCATGTGCAATATGTGAACAATGCGCTGGACACCCATCATTTTGCAGCCACATATTTTGTCTTATTTCCCTGCTCAAATCTACAAGTAACGTTGGTAAGACGTCATCTAAAAAATGTCATTACTTCCCCCCATTCAGCATACCATCAATAAAGTATGGACCGATCAATTTATCACCAATTATGCCGCACCAAACATTAACCGACCAAGGTCGTTGATGTTCTACTTCGCACAGAACAACTTGGACCAGCCTGTATATACGAGCGTGAATGATGCACAGAAGCGTTCAATTTTTTGGACAGTATGACAAATGTTGGCTTGCCCATTCAATTGGTATCTTACCAGCCTTGTGTATGGAGTCGAACATCGGCTATCATTTCAAGATTTCACCATGTATCTGTCCGGTTCTACAGTTTTGTTGTTTTTTGGATCTTTATAGTATGTCTGACCTCTTTCTTTGTGATAACAGCACCATGCTCATTACAATCGTCACTTTGAGGTTCTCCATCTGTGCGTCATTGTCAAGAATTCCAATATACTCTTTTCATCGTCGTAGCTTTTTTTCAACTCCTACTAAGATTTCAAACAGATATTGTCAGATCACAGTTCGTTTCATTACAAAAGATTTTTCAATTTCTATAGAGTTTAATTACAAATATTAAAAAAAATCGTGTTAAACAAAATATCGATAATAGCAAACGAATGGAATTTCCTTGTAAAGCGCGAAATGTAAATAATTACGAACGATATCCTTTAAAATAATCTAAATAATTTAGTCATGTTCGTACCTGTAATTTACAAGCGGTCTGTATACGAATTATAACATTTTATATTTTAATTTTTGAGTTTATTATAAATTGTTTATTCTATTACAGAGTACTAGAACACCTTCGGGGATAGTTCTCCAACAAAAGAGTTGGGTAAGTTTATTTATCTTACTTATTTCCCGCTAAATAGCAAATCCGCATATATTTACAAACGTTATTTACTGTGTATATTTATCTAACCAAAAAGTTAATTATTTTAAAATTACTGCGAAAATTCCCTCGAAAAATCATTCACAACGCTCATTAATTGACATGGAGTAAAAGAAAATTTGACACCCGTCTTTCTGCTGAAAACTTAAGACTTTGATCTTTTCGGTCTTTTAAAATAACGCATCGCGCTTTAAAAGTTGTGTTTATTTTGCTTACCAGGAATTTAGCACAAGAATTTCCAGGACATGGTTTATAAGCATTTTTATGTCGTTTACGTCATTAATGTTTATTTCACGGTCGGGGTTATAATTTTTCTCAACTATTCAGGTCTTAAACGTTTTCTCTTAAACTCTGAATAATTGGTACATTGATAGAAGCCAAAGTTTACATTTTCGTTTACATGTTACTGCGTCTATATTTTAATCAGAAAATAGATTAAATGCTTTCTTTTCATCGTTAAATTATTGTACTTACACTACCATTTACCACGGATAATAATAAAAAAATTGTAAGCAAACAAAACCCTAAGCAAAATAAAAGAAAAAGTGATAGTTTGTCATACACATCAGCGAAAAAGTATTATTATGTGTAGATTGATTTTATCTAGTGATGGAACGGATAGTGATTTTGCGAAAAGCCGGATACAAGATATTCGACATCCCTTCGACCGGATATCCGGTTATCCGGCATATCTATCCGGCCATTATGGTTATAATTTCTGATACATTTCTGAAGTGATACTCCCTGATATATTGCCACTTTATTCCGATATTTGAATAAAATGAAATTAATAAGAAAGCTTATGCAAGTATGTCAACTTATTTTGATCCAAGATACATAATGAACTTTTTTGATGCTGATTTAACTAACGAAGCAATTCTAAAAAGAGGATACTTTAATTAATAATTGGCGATATGTCCACAAGGATCCTTCAAAAAATTAATTTTATAGGGAATTCTGAAAATGTTATCAAAACTTCAAATATTGTTTTCTCAAAAACTAAAAGTAATTTTTCAAAATGGATTGGTTCATTTAAAGAGGACACTTTTATTAACACATTGGGAAATTTTCATATTCATATTCCAAGAAATGGATTTTATACGAATTTTTAAAACTTAATCGGCGAAAGTTGCAAAATTCGAAAAAATTGCCGATCATTTCAAAAATTTATTTCTTAAAAACTAAAAGCGATTTTTCAAAACGGCTTGTTGCATTAAAAAGAGGATACTTCAATTAACAATTGGTGATATTTCCACAAGGATCCTTCAAGAAATTAATTTTATAGCCAATTTTGAAAATTATCGATGAAAATTGCAACATCGAAAATTTTATTAAAACTTCAAATATTGTTTTCTCAAAAACTAAAAAGCTATTTTTCAAAATGGGTTGATTCATTGGAAAGAAGACACTTTTATTAACACTTTGGGACATTTTCATACTCATATTCCAAGAAATGGATTTTACACGAATTTTTAAAACTTAATCGGCGAAAATTGCAAAATTCGAAAAAATTTTCGATTTCAAAAATTTATTTCTCAAGAACTAAAAGAGATTTTTCAAAACGGCTTTTCCATTAAAAAGTGGATACTATAATTAATAATTGGTGATATTTCCACAAGGATCCTTCAAAAAATTAATTTTATAGCGAATTTTGACAGTTATCGATGAAAATTGCAAAATTGAAAATGTTATCAAAACTTCAAATAGTGTTTTCTCAAAAACTAAAAGTTATTTTTCAAAACGGATTGGTTCATTGGAAAGAGGACACTTTTATTAACAGTTTGGGACATTTTCATACCCATATTCCAAGAAATGGATTTTACACGAATTTTTAAAACTTAATCGGCGAAAATTGCAAAATTAGGAAAAATTGTCAATCATTTCAAAAATGTATTTCTTAAAAACTAAAAGCGATTTTTCAATACAGCTTTTTGCGTTAAAAAGAGGATACTTTAATTAATGATCGAAAGTGATAACAGCAATAGTTCTATTAGTAATGAATGTGATGATGAATGACAAGGGAAGAGAAGAAAACTAGATGAAGCTGCAACAAGCAACAAGAGATTTTATATATCGTATTGGGATTGTAACAACGAGGTTGCTAATGACAAACCTGATATAAATAAGGTTGTATTAAGTGAAAAAAGTCCTATTGGGGTTGAACTTAATTATTATCTGCAGTATCCAACACCTAAAAGAGATACTAATTCCTGTGAATGGTGGAGTACTAAGTAATAAGTTTTTAATATCCGGCCAAAGCCGGATATTTGGTAACTATCCGGTATCCGGAAGAATTTAAAAAAATATCGGATATCGTATAGTTGCCGGATAACCGTTCCACCACTAACTTTATCCAACACAAAGATAAGCTTCGTACTTAACTATGTTTAAAATCAGAGTTCTCTAGTTTCACTCCAAGGAAATTTGTTTTCGCTTTTTCTAATAAGTGAAAATACTAGAACAGTTCAACCTATCATAACTCTACAAAATCAATGTCAAATATCATGGATACAGTTTTTATTAATTGTAATTTGTATACCAGCTATTATGTATCCAACTTAACAATTAATTTTCTAATATCATTAAAAGAAATGATCAAGAGTTTTCTTTTCTCAAAATTAAACAAAAAAGATTGAAGAAAACTTTGGCAAGTAAAAGGTATAAAAAATTATATATTTAATCAATTATTAAACAAAATTAGATATTCTTACTAACCTCAAAAAAGGAGAACTATATCGATTTTTAAAACATCAAATTCGGAGTTGCACCAGTATTCAAAGAAAATCGCTCTGTCGAACATAGTATGTTTGTTTGCTATGTAAAATAATAAACTGACTGTATCGTATTTTAGATTTATTAGGGTAGTATTTTTTTGATGAATTTTACTACTTTTTTATCTATATTTCTCTTTGAAGTTTTGGAGTAATAAATATCCTTTAAATTTTCCAGTACATTTCCAAATTCAAAGCGTAAAATTATCGTTCCCCCCCTTCAAATTTACCTACAAACACCCTATTTTTATTTTCCAAAACAAGAAGTGATTTATAGTGCCCACTTTCGTTTACGACCTAATCTATTTTTACGTTTTACCACATTTTCCACGACGTCAAGTCGATTAAGACCTTAAAAAACCACACCGCCAAAAAATTAACAACGACCTCTCACATTTCCGTCACGTCGTGTTCACTTGACGATGTTTATAATTTTTGTCGCGCTCCTTTTCATGTGCATTTTACGATCTCGAGCGTGAAATGAAAAACAAAGAGATCGAAATTAGCCTTCGGCTTGTTGTTTTGTATGTGTTGAAGTTTCCAACGCCTTCGCCCCATTTTGCCTATTAAGACTTTGTTTACGTTCGTTTTTCATCGACTTAGCGCAATGTAACACCAAAAATTAAAAGAAAATATAAGACATTACAACGTTAAAATTTTGTTTGGAATTTTGGTGCGGAATTTGAAATAAAATTGTGGCTTGTTTTGAGGTTCGAAGTTCGTAAACTTGCACAAATGTTTTTACGGTCGACTTCCTTTGCCAATTATAGAACTGTGTATATTATGTTTGTGTTGTGGTGGCTTAAGGTTTAAGTATAAAATTACTGTCGTTTAAGCGTATTTATTCAAAAAAAAAAAAATGCGTTTAAAAATAGTAACTGTTCCATTTTTATCCGTGAAACTAAAACTATGCAGCTACCACGAGATAAAAAAGCGAGAAAGAGTTATTTGAGAGGGAGTGCTCGAAAATACATATATTTGGAACGGTTAGATTTAGAATGGACATTAATTTTATTTCACACTATTATTCTTCGTATACTCATAAAAATAAAAAAAAATTAATTTAATTTAGCAGGTTAAAAGTTACGACGCATTTCAATTTGTTTTAAATCGAATCAATTTTCCAAATTCATTTAACGAAAACAAAATTCAATCAACAGATCGTATGCTTAAAAAAGAAATTATTTGTGCCGCTTGATCTATAAACACTGAAATAATAAATCTTCACTACTAATAGTTTCGATAATAAAACCATTAAACCTTATCATCTCGCTTATAATATGAACCAACTCCTTTAATTAATTTAGATGAATCAAGCTTCGTTATCTACAACGTCGAGAGGAACGTTAAAGAACCTGATTTTAAACTAATAAGCGTTGTTACATCACTAAGAATAGAGTTTTTTATTACTTAAAGTTATTATTTGACCAAAAAAATTTGTCTAAACTTTTTATTAAAGAAATTTGGCTGTACTACTTGTGTCTAATTGATTACACCGATTGAAATGATGACTTCCGGACCAGCTAGAAATGCTTATTATCGTCTGATTGTACGTAACCTTATTATATATTCTGCCATTACTTTCGACTCACTCTTAAAGTTGCAAATTAAAAGTTAATTGCAAATTTAATAAAAAATATACTTCATAATAAATAACTTGCCTTTTGATACCCTCATCTTCTAAAATAACTAAAAAAAGTTATCAGCTGCTTCTAATAACATAATCAGTTACTTTCTAATCTGCCAGAATAAGCAAATAAGTTTCTGCCTGAACTGTATAACCACATATGGTATAAATGTACTTTTCCTGCTAACTGAATGAAAGTAAAACGAAACCTTTTATTGGAGACTGATATCTGTCATCTATCTATTCTAATGCAAATAGCTTTTTGAAGCTTAGAATATGCAATCTATTATTTCCGCAGTACAGACTTTTTCTTCTAAGAGTCTCTTATCCGTGATCAGAGCAGTGTAATTCCAGACTTCTTTTTGTCATAAACACAAAATCAGTAAATAATTGTTATAACAGCACAGGAATAATTCTTTCCGACTAGATACCATCTTTCTATGCGGACAGCCTGTCTTGAAGGAATAACTGCCGGAGAAATAACTTGTAGTGCATGAAAAGCTGTATTAAGTCTTTCCTGAAGTCCGTAAAATCGTCATCACATA